CTGCTGAATCTATACTCTTTCAGACTTGACACATCATCGAATCAGTTACTTTTAGGGGTGACAGCCAGGAAATCCCAGTGACAAACCTGATGCTTGGTTAGCCAAACTTGCAGTTGTTCTGTTGCAGTGATATTTCATAGATACATGGGGTATCAAATTAAAGGAAATTGAAATCTGGTGACACACCAACAAATCACTTCCCCATGATTGCACCGAACATTTGTGTATTTGCCTGTCAGGCCAATACCACACTGTTTCTGCTCAGCAATGACATTTTCATTAGCAATCAAGTTCAATTGTTTAATAGACATATTGAAAGAATTTCCAACAAGTCTCCAGTCATTTTGAAAAGTTACTTCGTAAAATAGGAGTTACCAGATTACTGTAGTCAATTCCAGCATTAACATACTTACCAGATAACCACTTGCGTACTACCTACTAATTTGATCAGGATCCTTTCCCTAGAAAGGAAATCTTGGATATTACTTTTGGTGGTCTTTAAAACCTCAAGGCTTGGCTACATGGTGACAACAGGATGCATTCACACCTAAGTACTCCATGGCAAAGTTCCCATACGTTTCCATTTGGGAGCAATCAGTGGGGGACACACTGGGCTTATATCCAGAAGGACCTTCTGCAATACCTTTGCTCTAACTGGTGCCTGCTGGCCATGGCAGCTACTGTAATAAGGAGCTAGTCCCCACGCACCTTGTATCTGCCACGCTGCAAATCCTGGGAAGCCTCAGGGCAGCCCACTGCAGTTGCAGCAGACCAAGGCTCAAGCTGGCTCATTACTCATACGCTGTCTGCAGGTGTCAACCTCCTGTGCTTAACAAGCCAAGAGACGACAGTATAAGGAACAAATACTACCCGCAATCAGTCCCAGAGAAAAGGAGTGACTAAAAAAGCTGTTTTGCTTGACATTTAGCTAGTAAAAGGACACTGTAAGTTCAGTTCCTCAACTTGAAAATTTCCAGGGCTTATCCAACTCATCACAAAATACTCAATCAGCCCTGGGAAACAGAGGTGTCTGTAGGTGAAGATATACACCATGGCAGCTTTCTGCTAGTAGTCCGCATGGCCACTAGCTTTGAGGAAAACTGCATTTAAAACGCTCTGTTTCCTGCTCAGTAGAAAATGGCATCTGAATGGCCCCATCCCTGTGGGCACTTTTAAGCATGCATGCTGCTTTGGACACCTTGGGCAAGTTCAAAACCAAAATACTGCAGTCCTAGACTATGCCACACAATGCCTACACTGAGGTCTTAGTAGCTACCTGTGACCCACACAACCGTCACACACATCCTACAAGGCGGTTTTTAAAAATACTGCTTTAATAGTACCTTCTTGGCAGAAGCAGGCAATCATCGAGCAGCTGCACTGCCCCTTGGAAGCAGAAGTCTTCAGCCAGTCAAAGCCCCTCCAAGACATCTTACAGCCTGCCACCCCCAGACACAAGGACAGGGCAGAGCCTGACATGCTTACACTAAAATCAACTCTAATTATCTACCATGGCACCAAGAAGTGTTGGAAAGGTCTATTCCAGGGATACTTGCTGCCTAGACCCATGTGAAGCCTCCAATATGACGCCCTACCTGCTAAATGATCCCTTCATGACCACCCGTGGGCCCGACCTGCCTGCAGCAGCTCACGCATGCTCCTGATGATATGTTCAGTGTCAGGTATCGCAGTGGGAAGGGCTTCAACCAAGACTGAAAATGACTGTTTCACAACTTCTAAAACACCAGAGCCATTCAGAAAGGTTCCATTTGTGATTAAACTATGATGACTGTCAAAAGCAGGAGATCCTCATATCTTCGTGACTGAATTATAAAACGTGTTTGCAGGGCATGCCTTTTCAATTATTTAAATAGTAGACATCTACACTGAAAATAAAATAACTGTAAATCTCAAAATTGGGAGATTGCTTAACAGGAAAAAAGAGCAGCAATTCAGTGACTTTCTTGCTGCCCCTTGTGAAGCCATGGGATCTTTTGCCAGTCACTGGTATTGTTTTATTTCGCATGAGGTACCCAGATCGTACAGCCATGGGGGCAACAGAAACAAGTTTCGAATTTCATTCATGAGTAGGTGAATCACTATTCATTTGAATCACTGTTAAAAACTTTATGAAGGCTTTTAAGGCTGTTTCTGTGATCTACTGGGCTCTCATTTACTACTGAAGACAGGCACAATTGCTTTCTGACTCAGCTTCAACAGTCACAGTTCTGTTAAAATCCACGGGGCAATCACACTATTACTTCAAACAGAACTAGATGTCAGAAGAGCAATAAAAGAGGTAGATGTATGCTATGCTAGCTCAAAAAATGTCTTGGTATCATCACTTCGCAGACGTTGGTTGTTGCAATTAATTCCAAATTTCCATGTTTTAACAGTTCTGAAATTAAATCAGGATTCCTGAATGTCAAAACACTGAAATACCAAAATTTTAGTAAGTTACAAAAGAAAGTCTTACTGTGTTTTTGTATGACATGCAAGCCAATTTATAGAGAGGAAATGATGTTAGCATCTTCTGGCTAAAGATAAGATGTAGCCAGCAATGTAAAAGGAAGAAGAAAAATTGTAAACCTTTTCCCTCGGACTTGCTTTATGTTATACAGTGGAGTTTGGCAGTCCCTTTCCTTTTATCTCTTTATATTTAGACAATCGGAAATGTGTTACAGACCCAGCCAAAGAAACCACACAACAAGCTGCAAAACTCATGTGTCATGGAAGGGCTTGTCCCAGTTGTTAATGACTTGCCAGGAAAGGCTTTAGCCTTTACAAGGAATGTTGTCAGAAAGTTCATTGACTTAGAGACCAAAGCAATATTTGCAAAGTTCAGATTTAAAAATTTAGTTTTTTTTCTTTTTTAAAGAAGTTGTTTTTGTTTTTTAAAAAACGAAAAAGGAAGAAAGCAAAACCAAAATTAGGTGAAAAATTAATACTTCACTCACAGCACTGTAGTTGCTTTGGATTTACAGTACTCAAATTTAAAGGAGAAATGGGCACTGGATTGTTAACTAAAGATCTACAACAGCCAAATCCTCTAAGGCCTAATCCAAGCATGGACGTGGCCTCATAGACAGGCAGAGCCGCCGCTAAAGCCACAGTGCAACCAATGTCCAGCCCGCCGGTGAGAGGTGCACAGGAAAGCTGGCACCCTTCTTTTCGGTGGGGTGCAAAGATGCCCCCGACTTCAGATCTCGTGCTGCGGGAACAGCCCGCTGGCATCCCACCAGCATCTACAGTGAGG